TCTGACATGGCGTACCGTTGACCTCCTACACATCCGGCGTCTGATAAGCATCGTCATCTGGACTGGTTCGTGTGAAGACGTAGATAGGATTGGTTTGATCCTGAGATGGAGCGAATAATGGAGAGTGAAATGAATGCAGTGCCAACAGATTGAATAGTAACACGTTCTAAACACTTGGACAGCGTGATAAACTAGGGAAAACAATTTGGCACACCAATCATGACCTCATAAGACGTTGGAGTATGAGTTGCACTGAACGCATCCACCGTCTTCCTACGTTCTTTGGTCCATTTCCGCAGAGTCACATGTTCTCCGTCTGCCTGTTCGCGTTCCTTCAAAACAGATTTTCAAGACAGAATAAATGGAACAGCACATTCCCCCACTAGTTCGAATTCCTCTCCTGAGGTTGGAACGTGCTACGGGTTAGATATCAATCTATGCATGCAGATGTATTTAAGCAAACGTATCAGGAAGCTTGTGTGCATAGGCCTTACTTAGCTACGCTGACTTTTGTCAAAGCTCCTATAAAAATAGTTTTTGTGGTTTAGTATACACATTGTGTGCCAACATACCTTGGTTCAGCTGTAGAAAGTCTTCTACAAGTGACAATACACGGTTGTTTGCAGTGTCCTTAGCCCATTTCCCAATATCGATAGCACTCATCCTTTTTATCGCCCGACGCATACTGTTCTTCGATCATTCAAGTTCTGTTCGCGTTCCTTGGTCTTTGTGGTGCTTCACAAGCTTAACTAAACAAAACCCTCAGCGGGAAGCATCTGGTTTTTGTCAAGGGGGAGGCGAGGTGACTCAGTGGTTAGAGCGCGAATTTACTGACCGGTAGTTCGGTGGTTCGAACCCGACCTCTACCTCTCGGCCTCCCCTGTCTAGGCTTGGGCATGCTGGCGATATCCCAGCCCTCGCGCTTTCTTCGGGTGGCATGGCAGCTAGGCACCGGAAGGGTTTTTTAATCTTTTCGTCAAGGACAAGCACTGTAAGATCATGGATATCGTTCTGCTCGTAAATTAAGTTTTATTGCACGAGGATAGTGCACGGTGAAGAGATACGCCTGCTGGTCACACACCAGTAGCACTGTTAAATTGCACCGACGGAATGTTGTGTGATCACAATGTAGGCCGGAGGGAAAAAAGGTCGCTCCAAGCGAACGCGCTGAGTTGCAGACGCCTCCAACTGAAATTCTGTCTACCAGTTTCATCAGGGTTATTCTGCACAAGATTTGGTTAGTAGTTCAGCTAGCGCTACACGAAGTTTACGATACAAGCCCATGGACAAATTTTAACCATAAAGTGACGGATATAACTGGCCAGCATGTTGCAGTTTGCGTACTTAAACACATTGCACATAAACCCAAATGAGTCAGTGGATGCGACAATGGCTGTGCGTTTGTATGACCTGGGACAGATATCCTTATGGCGTAGTCGCGCCCTCAATGGCGCTCGTGCTATTGCCTTCAATGCATAGCTCCTTTTCCACCCCTCACTTGACAGCCCACAGACAGTGCTGGATTCATGCATCAATCTGTCATCTCCAGCCCGCAATGCGCGGCTACCTACTCCCCTCCCCCAAATCATCGGTGAACGAAACTGCGGCAGCTACAACCACTGTACAACGAGTACACGGATATTGCAGCTGTTGACGATGACGCTGATTCTGAGATAGACTGTCCGTCCCGGACTTGACAATCCATGTATTCTAGCAATGAAGTACTCCTTTGCCGCGAGGAAAACATTCGCTGGGACGCGAAATTTCCTTCCGAAGAGTCAGTCGGGGAAAGAAGAAATTCCGGAAACGATTTATTCGCCCAGACGAAGCATCGCAATGGAATTTGCATGCAATGACGACTCAGTTGAACTGTAATTGTAATCCGTCAGATGTAACCACATAATGTAATTTCCCCAGTAAATTTTTCTTTTTGCAATTCCCAGTTGACTCTGGCTGAGCAGAGGAGGAAAATTCGCACTGGTCCCGATAACTGGTCCAGATATTACAGGAGTTGATAACCATCACGCATGCCGTAACTCAGTGGGGCGTTTCTTTGACCTCTTGCAAGTCAAAATGTCGCGGAATATTACGCCTTTGGGTATATCGGTTGGCCAGCATCCAACACAAGCCCAACACGCGAGGACAGACAGACACACTTTATCTAGGCAGTTCGATTAGGAAACGAAGGAATACTTGCCAGTGGAATCGGCTGTCACATGCGAAAAGAATCACGTGGACCAAAACAAGGAAGGCACAAAATGTCACTGAAATCAGTTTGGCCATACCCACCCACCCATCGGGAAGATGTTTCGTTATTCCACAAAGGTAAGACAGTGCCTTATTACAGCAATGATTCAGATCCAAAGAAAATAAAAACGGGTTCGAAATCCCAATGGTGTGTAGGGACGTCCGAACTCTGGCGGACGCAACACAGCTGTAATTGTGCCTTGATAATTCCGAATCACGCAACCAGCTTATGAACCCTTTATGTCCGTACTGTTAAAAAAGCCCCATAGACCGTGGGGGGCAACCAGTTTTAGGTTAGACGCGTTGCTTCACTGTTTCAAATGTGCGATTACATTACAGGAAGTGGCCATAAGTATAAACTGATAGGTTCAAACAACACTGCGATGGCATCGAGATAAACTGATTGCACATAGGACAACTTGGGGGTGCCCATTCTCTGCACAATGCTCTCAGCTTCAAAACTTTTACAAGTGGAGTAAAACTTTCTACGCTAAAATGTCGCATTTTGTTGAGTATATGCTCAAACAAAAAAACCGTCCTAATCCACGTTAATATTTTGCAGGTCACCAAATAATAAAATAATAATCGTTCAGCTGTAGCACCCTTTCGGTGCCTAGCTGCTATGCCACCCGAAGGAGGCACGATGGCTGGGATACTGCCAGGTCGCCCAAGCCTAGACAGGGGAAGTCGAAGTCGGGTTCGAACCATGGAACTTCCGGTCAGTAAATTCGCGCTCTAACCACTTGAGACATCTCGACCTCACCAAATTTCATTGTTCACTGAAGCAACCATGCCTCTGGCTGAAAACTCTTGTGGGATAAGATCCCAGCACCGCTGAGACCTCAGTATGCCTAAATGGGGATTAATAGCTTGGATTGGTACTCTCAACTCAACTGCCCGATTGCTTTAGTAAATCAGGGACACGTCATAACTTTCGAAAATTCAATTCCATTGTGCGAATACTGAGCGCCGCAGTGTAGCTGCTATACATGGGGAGCATGTATTCGCAGGTAGACGACTGCGACGCGGACGTATGAGCAGAACCAAACAAGCATAAAAGTTTATCCAAATGGGGTTTACACAGCCTTGGGTTAGCGTACAAGTCCGAGCAGGAAATAAAAATGACCAAGGGGGAGTCATGTTGGTCAGGAGCCTCCTACAAACCAAACAGGACGAAACGGCGAAAGGATAATAACGTTAGCGACCTCAGGTGCGTTTGACCCAGTAAATCTTTGTGGATGGAATCGACGGCGCATGTTTTAGTCGACCCGTGTAAATGTATTAATTAGTCTGAACGGGTGGCCTCAGAAACTTGTTTAGTCACGTACTCAGATAACCCTGCCAATCGGAATGAGTTGTCCTCATACAATTCCGAGACTGTGGGGTTGAACATGATTGTGCGGTGTAGCGTTATGACATAGAGGCCTAATCCATGTGGATGTGGGGGTATCAATCCGAGCGCCAGTAGACGAGTATATGATGAGTAATCCAATATCAGCGACATCAAACAACGACCGAGTTCTCTGTTGACCCCATACGTGGATGGAGTTACACGTCAGCAGAGTTCATCATATCGGATTAGATGAAAACATACAGTGAACGTTTAAGGAAACAAGCGGAGCAGGTAAAGTCATTAGACCTAAACGACAGCCGAAGCGTTTCATCACCGTCACAGATATTGAAACGAGTATTGATAATCTTCATCTCTTTACAACCTCTTTTCATTTAAAAGCTCTAGGTTGGAGAAAAGAGTGAGCAGCAAAGAAAATCTGCTTTCTTCAGGCACCCATGAAGTGTATATACATTTAAGCGACCATTATCGTCGGGAGGGGAGGGTAAATCAATTCACTGATGTACACCGTCGATACAAAACCTTTAAGGAAGGAAAAGTGTTGGAGCAAGACGTTTGACAAACTCAACTGGAAAATGAGCACAAAAGTGGTGATTTTGTACTTCCAATGCCGAAAGGATTGAGACGTTTTCGGGAGGTGGGTGGGATCAGATATTTCGACTAAGTGTACGCTTCTCCTGGCAACATACCTTCCCCCAACATCGGCGAAAAAGCATGAAATTCAGCTGGAGAAAAGAAGAACTCAACGCAATTTTTCAACTAATTAGCATAATTGCAGTGTACGAACAAATCTGGAATGACAACAGGACTAAACAGAACCGGTAAACGCACTCGAACTAACAAAACGCAATACTAAACACCAACGTCAATCCAAATAAAAAAGGAATGCGTCCTATAGGTAGAGTTACGCACGGAGGGACCGCGTGACACGCGCGATGCCATAATCACATGACTGTCTGTTGGCTGATCGACTCGATACAAGGTGCGCAGCTAGGAGACAGACACACTAGTGACTGAAATCCAGCCCACTTGGTAAGTTAGAATGACAGGCAATAATGATCGCCTAGAAAGTTGGTAGGTATTTCTAATAAAATAAGCGTAGTGTGGTAACAACGACTTTCAGCCTGCCAGGAATAAAAGCAAACGATCTTCGCGTAACCAAACAAGGCGCGCCAGATCGGTATAAGCACAAGTGACAGTGTCAGTCACTCACTATAAATAGGACTTCTATGAAAAGGCTCTACGGGAATCTCTCTATAGGAGGTCACTTTTTTCTGACCACTCCACTGGAAACCGATCATCCCTCATTATTCTCGAACAAGGATGATTTCTGCTGGCGAGAAAGAAAGAACGCGAGAGGAAGAGGTTGGTAAGATCCATAGACAAGGGCCACTGAGGGGGTACCCAGTTCGGAACTCATTTCTAGTCATAGGCTGCAAAGTCGCCAAACCTGATTGCACAGTTGAACTGCGTTCAGTTCCGGTTTCCATAAAAATGAATCAATTGAGAGTTGATTGCTCATTTCAGCAACAGGACGGCAAAGGCTTGAGTCAGTTCGCAAAACTCGATTGGTACACATATGGGTTACGAAACCGACAGGTAAAGTTACGGGTTCTCCACGTAAATCGAACCGGCTAAAACACTGGTTTGTTGCATAGCTACTGGGAATAGTTTTCAAAAACAACAAACACTAAGAAAGCAACACTGACAGGTTGCCGAGGACCATTACGAATAGACCAAACCAAATAGAGTTCGGACTACGGACAATACGACAGCTGCAACTTGTATTTTTTTTTAAATACTACCCCCATTCTCTGAGAAACAGTGCTCGAAATAACATAACATCTCGTTGTGTGGACGCGCAAGCTAACCAGGTGGAGTTCTGCGCCAAAGTTAGGAAACTTTAGTTGTATCTGAATGCTTTAGATACTTTTTGTTTGTTTATGGTGTACTTGAAGTCGGTAAAAAGATCACGGGCGAACAAATCGCTTTTAGGATCTCGTCCTCAAGTTACTATCTATGTCTGTCCATGATTTGAACATTGTCCACCAACGTGGTGACAACAATGCTGGTTCCACAACCAATGTGATCCAGCAACAGTAAGAAACTTTGTATAACGACAGATTTGTTTGCCTACTTTTTACCTCTCTTGTCCCACGTCGACAGAAATGCACAGAAAGCGGATGTGGCGGAGGCGTCTTCGAAAGGTCCTGAGATATTCGCTTAGCTAACCACCGGACTGTGATCGAGTCAAGTGGTATGGAAAGTGTGTTCCACAGAAAATAAGGGGGTCTTATTCAAGCTGTGCTTTGAGAAACGGTGCTACGGGTCCGATGCATTGCACCGAGACGGATGAGAAAAAAGTGGCTCACGTAAACTCGATTGAAAGAGTAATCGGAAACGGGTGCTCAGTAGAAAAAACTATTCATCTGCCTGTTTCGTACACTCCACCAGTGCGAAGTCAGTGACTGATGTTCCATCGGTCGTTTAGAACTGGTGCATGGACCAGCACAAATGGCATTCCAGCCAGGTGGCCATCAAAAATTGAATAAGCGCAGTCCACAGAACGTAAAAAATGTGACTACTACATTTGAGCCTATTCTGTGCCTTTAGACCTGCCGATTCATCTAAGTGGATAAAAGAAAGGAAACCGGTTGGTATCGAGACAACGCAGAAAAATAGGGTTCTGAGAAAAAAATGTTCTACGCAACGCGCCTAAGACCCGAGAATTGTATCTAGGCTTAGAGCGAGAGAGAGAGCTGAAAAACGACAACCATAAATCGAAACTTACCAAACCAGCTCCATAGTCGGAAATTTTATGACCTGCTTCCAACAAAAAGCCACCAGAGGCGAGTAGAATTTGTCTGTCCAAAGGTATACCGATCTTTTTTTCCGCCAAAAGGTCTCGCAAATTGGAAACTCTGGACAAAAGGATGATAGCAAGTAAAGTATCGTGTCAAACTGCGCGGGATGGGAATGGTATGATCGAGATGAACAACCTCAAGCAAATCCAAGAATATGTGGTAACTATTCGCCATTTTATCACTAGAGTACTCTTATGTCTTGTTTTCAGCTCCAGAATTTTCAGAAGTAAAGACTTGAAGCTACCGAACGGAAGTTCCGTAGTTTCCGTTCAATTTTGGCTTCTCAAATGCTCGTGTCTGGGGTAGGACAACCTGGCAATAACTCCGTCTTCCTGCACACTTGGGTTTGTGTGACTGCTATGCAGCGAAAGGTTGAGATAGCTGGACAACTGTAGACAAATTGTGAACTTCATTACAGGCTTGAACACCTTTAAACTAATGCCCAGATCGCAATGTGAGTTTTTCCGATGAGCCTAAAATTCGTATCTTAAAGCGCACTTTCTGTTCGTCCTAGATTCACTTGTGTCTCGAGTTTCAAGAGATACCGAACTTCTCCTCTTCTTACTTTTAATCAGATTGCACGAATATTTATTTGGGTATCTGGCCTATAGTCAAAACAACAAAACGGGCCGAAGACGGCACTGACAGACGTCAATCAGGCAGTGGCATCGCGAATCGCGAATGAAGCTCAAATGACTGTGTTCTAAACAACCAAGTTGGTACAACAGCTGTTCGGTGTACGCAAGATGGCAGCGAACCATACGTGCACTTGGAATGCTCCTTTCAGGATCCTTAACTGCAAACTATGCTTACTTTTAGAACATTTGAACTTCCAAGTCGGGGAGCGGGGCATGCTTTGGAGGCATTCTTATGAGTGAAAACTTTAGAAGGCACGATTTCGTCATGATTTTCAACCCTTGATCTAACGGGCAGGGGGAACTCCACTGTGCTGAAGGGAACGATGGCTCTCAAGGGGGAGTTGTCGCTAGTTACCGGGAGAAATTGTAACGATGCAGAGTCACCACCAATGCAGCTCAACTAGTACAAACCTGAGACTGGAGAGCCTCATAGTACCGTTTGGAAAAGACATACCTAAGGAGCGTCATACGCTCAGCCGTGCGACGTGCCTAAAAAACGAACACTGCGTATAGCCAGCAGCTAAATGAATGTCTCGGAACCAGCTAGTCCGGTACAGAACGAACGGAGCTTACTGCACAACATCCACCCACGAGTATCTGGTTTAGAGTACAACTCATGAAAATACTCTAATGAGTATGTCTGAATAAAACTCTTTCACGAGGTTTGGCATTTAGTTGATGCACAACATTCCAAAATACCATATCCATTAATCAACGGTTTTTAATTACATTTGGATGGCCTCCATGCGCCTGATTTTTAGGAACCACCCGTGAGTTTAGGAGGTTTAGAACTCCAACTTGAAAAGGTCCCAAATTTACGGGAAAAGTACGATTTTTCTGTGTCCCAAAGTTAACAGATGATGTGGCCGGGTAAAACGTAGCGTAGCCAAACCACTCAAACCATACAGAGAGAGTGATGCTCAAAAGAAGTTTGTGCACGAGTTTCATGCGAATTTCTCACATGTCAGTTAGGAAACCCATCTAACCAAACCTTTTGAGACTTCAGGAAACGGCTAATATTTCTGCGATATGACCCATAGGTTTGTAGTTTTGGTCATGTCCCCTACACAATCGTAACCCACGTGCGCCATTTTAGTGCCACATTGGGTTATCAACGGCAATCAACAGAAGCATACATACACATACACACACAGTTTGCCAAAACATGCATGGGAGCCTTTCGGCATCGGTATGCACATGGAAGTAGTTTGGATGTTTTGAACACTTATCTGGTCATTTAATTTACTTGACTATTCAACGGAAAGCATTTTGCGACCTAATCAGACCACACAATTGGCTAAGGAGGGCACGTCTATTTTATGTTTCGATAGATCGTTACAGTCAGGACTATTGCGCAGTTGTATATAGCCTGGATGAATTTGCCCGTTTGGGATCACATGAAGTTGAAACATCTCAAAAATACGGTCTAAAGCGTTTGTCTCTCAGAGAGTGAAGTCCTAGTTGTTGATCACCCATCCCAGCAGTTGTACGCGACGTCTGATACCTAGATGTTTTGACTCGCCCAGCTGCTAAAATGGGTACTCTAGTCAACCCTGTCATCTCGAGTATTGTCTTTCCAAGGCTTACTCAAGTCGCTTTCTTAGACATGCACAGCGATCAACTTACCATCCATGACAAATCAACAAACTGGTGTTTCCAGCACTAGTACACAGGATGGCTTGAAAGTGCGGGTGACTGAATTTCACACCATACACCAACCGCAATTTGACTCCTACCGGTAAAATGAAGTCAGCTGGCACCGAACGACTGACAGGCTTACTGTCGTACGTACCAAGGCGTGATAAGATGATAGAAAGACCCCAGTGAAACGGCCAAGTAAGGCTTTATGCTCAAATCCTCATAGGACTGTGCAACCCACTTTCATGTACGCACTACTGATGAACGGCCTATGTGCATTTTTGGCGAATAGTGTACATGGACATGGTGAGCGCCATCCGCCCAGGGATGACCTAGTTATTTATATCCGAAAGCCGTGTGATGCGACAAAGCGGCTGATGGTGGGCGCAACCGACGGTCGCAGAGACCGGGATGCGATGGTGTCCTGTAAATAGGTCAATGGTGCGTGTGGACAAACACACAGACACGCACACACGCATACACCACCGGTTGTGTAAGGCTGGTTTGTCAGCCTGAGAATGGACCGAGATGGAAAACTAGCCGCAACAATGAATTTCAGATCGGGTGGTTTAAAACCACACTACAAGTGAGGATGCTCCTGGACACCATCGTTCGTCATCGCTTTTATTCTTATTCCGTATACGGTAAAGGGAGCGGGAGCTTAAGATACCAAGGAAAGCACTTGGGTGTACTTATCCTCTGCTTCAGCTAGGGAATTGTGTATTTGACGTTAGCAAACAGAAGCCAATCTCATTCCGAATTTTGAACTTCAAACCACTGCAGCTTTCCGAGTTTGAGCTGACTCCCAGAAACTAACATTGAGAATATCGGAGTAATTCAGCTGTAGCATCCTTCCGGTGCCTAACTGCCATGCTACCCGAAGGTTGCACGAGGAGTAGGATACTGCCAGGTCGCCCAAGCCTAGACAGGGGAAGTCGAGAGGAAGAGGTGGGGTTCGAACCACAGACCTTCCGTTCAGTAAGTTTGTGCTCTAACCACTTGGGCCATCTCGGCATCTTGCTCAAATGGAGAACGATGACGTAGTAAGCGCTCTTGTCCAGATATTTGCATCAGGACACTTTTTCGGGTTGCACACTGAATTAGACAATCTATGTTTTGCAGAAGCGTGTCCAACGCATAGTTTGGCGGATTTTGCAGAGGCTTTCCGGATGCCCACAATCGGTCGATATTTCGGCCGGAGGTGAAGGGCTTAGAAAGTATCAGAACTACATAAAATCATACCAAGTCGATGTACGCTAGCTAGGAGGCATTCTGGCAGCCAAATCTGCATTTCTCAGTAGACTCCATAGTTTGCGTGCTGGGTTGTGAAACAACCTGTTAAACTACGCTGGCATCAGAACACGACTTTGACAAGCGATATCAAAACAATCCAGATATCGTTATTGCGACAACCGTGGATGGAATGGACTATCCTTTGATCATCAGTCGGAAATTAAACATATGTACTCTTTGAACAAACTGAAATAAAAGTACAGATATATGAAAACGTTCGCGAAAAAAATCACAACCATTGCATCCAGTGAGTTTGGTGACATGTTCCAACTTTTCGACCCTAAACCTTTACAAATAGGCTTGCTGGTGTGGATAACCCACGCATGTTTCAATCCCAGTTCAGAGCAGACACCAACGAAGTGTTAATATCGTACGCATCGGTTGTGGAGAAAGTTTCCACTGGTTTCCATTAGATCGAGATCACGAATTTGAGTCCAGTGCTTTCATACAGGCGAACAAGCCAACTCCTGATGGGCTGAGGGGAGGGATCTGCTGCATTGTCTTGCGAAATAATTCACCCTCTTGCTTATTAATAGCAAAGAGCGGTAACCCGCCAGAGTAGTGGACATTAACCCGTATTGTCAACCATTTAGTTGGTCATGGATCCAACTGAGGGTGTCTAAGAACCAAAATACAGTGCATCGGCTACCAGACGAATATACAGAACGCATAAACCTGTAAAATACTATTTTTCAAACGCACAGCCTATCGCGTTCGAAATTTATCGAACCAGGACTAGTTTAATTCAGAACAATCACAGTGAGTAAGTGATAGCATCGATGAAGGAAAAATTCCTCGCCAATAAACCAGACACCCCAATATAACATCAGTACAACACCCATACAAGGTAAATCACATTCGGTAGGATAGTGTTGATTGGCACTGCTCTTACATCAGATGAATTCAGCGAATAAGCGGCACTGGATGGCACCGGAAACTCTGAAGAATACACTCTCACACTGGGGCAATGAATACTGGAAAAGTGGTACAGGAAAAGAGATGTAGTGGTTCCCATCAGACAGCGCATCAAAAGAGGACTTGCGCTCTCTCGTGTTGATTTTGGACCGGATATCCAAGCGCAACCGATGAGTCGTGAGGTATTCCGGTACGCTTGGTGTGCTTAAGTTCAGAAGCTTAACAGTGAGTTGACTTCTCTACTGAAGCATGGTTAAGGGCACGTTATCCACATGGACTAAGAGTACAACTGTAAGGTGATACTATGAGTAATCTACGGACCTAGAGTACTCCAGGTTGTGATCGATCAGCTATTGGACTAGCTGAACGCTGAAACAATTAGCCAGCGCTAGTTAAACAACAGACGGAGCGAAGTCATAACAAATCACAGCAACCAATTGGAGCTCCACCATAAAGAGAAAATTGGAATGCTCACATTCGAACTAGAGCTTGAGATTCCTGTGTGGAGCACCTAAGACGTCGCTTTTGAGACGGAAGACAGTTTAAGGTGACATGGAGGGCAGGCCCTAGAAT